ATGCAAAAATTAGCCAGGCATGGTGACATGAACCTGTAATCCCAGCTACTCAGGAGCTTGAACCTGGGAGGCAGAGGTTGCAGTGAGCTGAGATCACACCATTGCACTCCAGCCTGGGCAACAAGAGCAGAATTCTGTTTCAAAACAACAAGAACAACAATAGGAATGGAGCGTTTTTCTCTGTTAGAGTACAAATGGCCAGATGTCTGCTCCATAAAACTGGTCATTGTAGATTTTTTCTCTCTAGTCTCATCAACTTTGTTTACTGCTTGGTACAAAAGTTTAATTTTCACTGGTATAGGGCCTTATGTAGAAGTTCAAAACCCAGCTCTGAATTTCTGAACTCATATTTTTGCTGCTGTGGTCATAAAACAAAAACAGAAACAAAAACAAAACTGTTTACTGGGAGTTGGAAGAAAACATTAGCTTTAAACCACTCACTGGCTAAATCAGGGGTTCTCAAACTTGGCACTGTTGATATTTTAGGCTGAAAAGTTCTCTATTGTTGGGGGTTGTCGTATGCATTGCAAGACATTTAGCAGCATCCCTGGCCTATATCAATTAGATATCAGAGGCATCCTTTCTGTTGTGACAACCAAAAATGTCTCCAGATACTGTCAAATATCCTCTTGGAGGCAAAACCACCCTCACCTCCACAGAGAATTATTGAGTTAAAGTCGTAGTCATTAATTTAAACTTTGGTTAGTTGGTTGATTTCATCTATTTTTGCTACTTTATAGATCAGAAGTTTTGTGGAATCCATATTAAATATTATCCTAAGGCATAATTAGGAAAGGTTAATATACTTTTAAAATCTACTAAAAGTATTGCAATTGCTTTGTTAGCAGATTACATTTTTATTAGACATTTAGCATTAAAAGGTAATCAAAGGCCGTAAATTTTATATGATCAAACGTATTACTTCTCCTTAAAAAACAAAAACAGAGCCGGGCGCGGTGGCTCAAGCCTGTAATCCCAGCACTTTGGGAGGCTGAGGCGGGTGGATCACGAGGTCAGGAGATCGAGACCAATGTGGTCGACACGGTGAAACCCCGTCTCTACTAAAAATACAAAAAATTAGCTGGGCATGGTGGCACATGCCTGTAATCCCAGCTACTCTGGAGGTTGAGGCAGGAGAATTGCCTGAACCCAGGAGGCGGAGGTTGCGGTGAGCCTAGATCTCGCCATTGCACTCCAGCCTGGGTAACAAGAGCGAAACTCCGTCTCAAAAAAAAAAAAACAGAAACAAAAACAAAGCAAATGAGTCTTCATATGGTGACAATCATGTGGAGTGCTCATCAAGTCCCTGTATCTTATTCTCAGCTTAGTAGACTAAGAAATTCAGTTTTAAAATGTATTTGCAAGTAATTGTGCTCCAGGGAACTTACACATGCATTAGTCAAATTCACAGGATACTGATGTAACAACATGAATGTAAGTATTCGATTTATAAAAAAGAACTATAAACATCAAAAATAAGAATTGTTAGGCAGGGCACAGTGGCTCATGTCTGTAATCCCAGCACTTTGGGAGGCTGATTACCTAATTACCTGAATTTGAATTTTAATTGGGAGGATTGCTTGAGCCCAGAAGTTTGAGACCAGTCTGGGCAACATAGTGAAACCTCATCTCTAAAAAAATAAAAATAAAAATTAGCCGGGCATGGTGATGCACACCTGTGGTCCCAGCTACTTGGGAGGCTGAGGTAGGAGGATTATTTGGGCTCCAGGAGTTTGAGGCTACAGTGAGCCATGATCCAACCACTGCAGCATTTCAGCCTGAGTGACTCAGTGAGACCCTATCTTAAAAAAACAAACAAAAAAACAGTTATTCATTTACAGTCAGTGCTTCAGTTAGGCACTTTATAGGGATTATCTCAATCAATGTATCAGTTCTATTATCATTTGATTATAGGAGCATCTAAGCTTAGCAAATGTAGGTCACACAACTAATAGGTTATAGAATTAGAATTCAAATCCAGGTAATAAAGACCATAATTTTAATGACAGGGGAAATGGATTCTTAGGTTTCCTGGTCAATTTATCACATCTGTTACATTAGAGGTGTTTTTCTTTTTCCCCAGAATAAAAAGGTAATATATAGACATTGCAAAAAATGTAGACTGTCCAGGATAATAACACCTATATTCTAATCAGATAGACATGACTGTCAACATTTTTTATATACTTTCTTCACTCATTTACATATATTGTATACTGTAGCTGACTTCATACTACATAGGTAATGTTAAATATTTTTAAATATTTAAAATGTTTTTTCATGAGATAATTTCCTCAGGTCATTAAAAATTCCTTGTAAACATTACATTAATAGTTGTAATCACATATATGCAGTAATCATTTTAGCCATTCTCATAATGTTGGATTTTAGACTTATATCAATTTACTTACCATGGCTAAGTATCTTTTTATAGAGATCTTCATGTTCTGGACTATCTCCTTATAATTTTCAAAAGAGAAATGATCAAATTAGGTCATGTGAACACTCATAAGGTTGTTGATTTGACAAATAACTTTCCAAAATCGTTGTCCTGATTTACATCCCTCCCAGGGTACAAGTGTCCACTTTACTCTTCTGTCACCAGTGGAGTTTGTTCACATTTTAAACAGATTGGGTAATTAGATGCCTGGGAAATAACCTCTCTATTGTCTGTTTATTATTAATGAGTTTGAATATTGGTAAAATGTATAGTAGGCATTCAAATTTCATATTTTGTGAATTGACAATTATATATACTTTCCCCATTGAACTATTTAAGGTGTTTGTATCTTTTTTCTATTCTCTTTGTCCCCATACTGTACTGTATAAATACTTCTGTCCCCAATATGCATTTGTATATATGAGTCTCTGCTACTAGACTGTGGTTCCCCATGACCAGTGGCCCCATTTTATTTTATTTGTGAACAATGCCTAACACATAGCAGGAAAAAGGCATACTGTACTTTGTAGAATTATTCTTACGATTAAATGAGATAATGTAAGCAAAGCATCTAACACACTGTCACATAGCAGATTCTCAATACATACATTATTTTAGGCAATCAAAAGTTTCGCTATTTCATGTTGTTGTTTAGGAAAACCAAGGTTAGAGATTAAGAATCTTTGAAAGATCAGGAACTATAGCTGTAAACTGCAGATTTAGGATGTGAACCCTGATTTTAAAATCTTTCATCACAAATCACATGTGGCTGGAATACTCGAGAAATTATAATTCTTGCAATTTTTCTTCTGAGAGAGAGTCTTGCTCTGGGGCCCAGGCTGGAGTGCAGTGGCGCGATCTCAGCTCACTACAGCCTCTGCCTCCGGGGTTCAAGTGATTCTCCTGCCTCAGCCTCCCAAGTAGCTGGGATTACAAGAGCCCGCCACCACACCCGGCTTTTTGTATTTTTGGTAGGGACGAGGTTTCACCATACTGGCCAAGATGGTCTCGAATTCCTGGCCTCAGGTGATCCGCCTACCTCAGCTTTCCTAAAAGTGCTGGGATTACAGGCCCGAGCCACAGCGCCTGGGCGATTCTTGCGATTTTTGCAAGATCAGTATGAACTGTAAGCTATTATATACCTTTAAGGAACTGCTTTTTCCCCTCGTCTGTATCTGATCCCACATGGATGTCTCTTCCCTTGTTTTTATTTTTATTATTTTCAGGGACACGGTCTGGTTCTGTTCCTTAGGCTAGAATGCAGTGTTCCCATCAGAGCTCACTGCAGCCTTGACCTCCTGGGGTTAAGTGATCCTCCCACCTTAGATTCCCAACCAGTAGCTGGAACTACAGGCATGCACCAACAGGCCTAGCTAATTTTCTTATTTCCATTTTTAGTAGAGACAGCGTCTTGCTATGTTGCCCAGGCCTGTCTGGAACTCTTGAGTTTAAGCGATCCTCCGGCCTCAGCCTCCTAAAGTGCTGGGATTACAGGCGCGAGCCACCGCGCCCGGTCTCTCATTTAAATTTATAGGAATCTTGTGGTAAAAAACAGCAAAGCAGGGCCGGGCGCGGTGGCTCAAGCCTGTAATCCCAGCACTTTGGGAGGCCGAGGCGGGTGGATCATGAGGTCGAGAGATCGAGACCATCCTGGTCAACATGGTGAAACCCCGTCTCTACTAAAAATACAAAAAATTAGCTGGGCATGGTGGCACGTGCCTGTAATCCCAGCTACTCAGGAGGCTGAGGCAGGAGAATTGCCCGAACCCAGAGGGCGGAGGTTGCGGTGAGCCGAGATCGCGCCATTGCACTCCAGCCTGGGTAACAAGAGCGAAACTCCGTCTCAAACAAACAAACAAACAAAAACCAGCAAAGCTCAACAAGCATAAAAATACATCAAGTGAGTGACATTTTATTTCTCTATCAGGTAAGTCAGCTTTTGCTTTTAGACCGGGAAACAACTGAACAACTGTTCTAGTGACCACTAAAAAAAGAGAAAAAAAAAAAAAAAAAAGCAGAACCAACGCAGCAAAGGGAAGGAAAAGGTCGCTGGGAATGTCCAGTCAGCTGGAGGGCTTGGAGCTCGGGGTTGGGCTGGGAGCATTTCTGCTGCTGCCGGGCGGAGGAAGGGGAAGAGGCGGAGGCGTGGGAGCCGCGGGTAGGACAACCAGACTGAAGTAAACAGAAAGTTAGGTTTTCCGAGGGGCCCGCGGCGCGCAGAGCAGGCCCAGCCAGCGGCCGAGCGGGCGGAGCTGTCCAGTGGAGACCGGAACGCCGCGCCGGCTCGGGGCCGAGGTCAGCGAAGGGCAAAGGAAGTCAGACACGGACGCGAGTGGCCTCCCGATCCCGGCGTCGAGTGGGAAACCTGGTCCCGATCTAAGGCTGAATCTTCAGGGGTCCTCGTCACCTCAGAACCCACTCAGACACTTCCGGTAAGAAGCCAAGCGCCCCGGCTCGGAACCTGCACCGTTGCGCGCAGGCGCCCTGGGCCTGGAGAGGGCGGCGGACGCCGAGGGAGGGGGCGTGTGAGCCGAAGGGAAGCCTCTTCTGCGCCTGCGCTCTCTGCGGGGCCAGTGGGGCGGGGAAAGAAACCCAGAGCCGGCGTCTGGCACGCCCAGGACTCCCGGCCGGGGTCGCTCTTCAGTCCTCGGCTCGACGTCGCGTCGAGTGCGCAAAAAGCTCCTAAGGGGTGTGGGGAGGTAAGAGCCCCCCGCGACCCGTCGTCTAGGCCTTCCCTCAGTCCTGCTGTTCCCACAGAGGGGGTGGGGTGGCCGCTGGACCTGCCGACCGGGGTGCTGGGTCCGGCCCTCCTCCTCCTCTGGGGACAGAGCCTGGGCCCCGACCGATTCCTTTTCCGAATCCCCGGGGAACCCTGGCCCTACAATTATCTGTCCTCTCCTGGAGCCTGAAGGGGCCAGACCGTACTGGACCGGGAGGGCAATCACGGCGGCTGTTTGCCTGGTTCCACCCTCCCGCGCCGCCCGAGTGGCCGGCGCTCCCGGAGGAGCAACCCCGGCGGGTGGAGAGAGAAGCGCCCTGGCTTCGCCGTCCCGCCTGGGGAGGGGCCGCGACCGCGGAGGGGACTGTGGTTCTTCAGGAGGGGCAGAGGCTTGGTCCCCGCGGAGGAGTCTCTTCGCTGCCGGGGCCCTCGCACTGCCCATTCCCGCACCCGTGCTTTCCTCTTCGTTAGAGACCAAAAGGATGCAGTAGACGCCTTTCCCGCTGCCTTTCCTTGGGTACTTTTGAGAAACTCCAAAAAGTGGACCTTGTTTTTAACCCAACTAATCTGCACCACCGTGATTGCAAATAGTATGTTCCAGACTAAGGATGTTCTTTCTTGTTGGTTTGACTTGTATGGAAACCAGTGCATGCATTTGATAATAAGTTAATCTTTTCAATTAAAAAAAAAAAAGGCACTTTGTTGATTCAATCAGATTCCTCCGTTTATTCACTTGTCCTTTCTTGAGTTGGCAGGAGTTTAATGGTTTGATCCAGTAGAACTATATATAATTTTTCGCCTAATTTCTTCCTCTTTTTCTCCCCTGGATATTAAACTGCATGCTTAGTGGGAAAAATTGAAAAAACAATAAAGAATAAGGAAAAATGATCAGTCGTAATTGCACCATGTGATGGCAATCAGTCACTTTTAATATTTTGACTTTCTCCTTTGAGTTATTTTTCCCCTGTGCATTTTCTTAATTGAGGTGAGATTTTATATCATTGGATTGTCTGCTTTCCTTGATTTAAATGATATTGTAAGCATTTCCCCATGTTTTAAAAAAGCTTCGTAGAAATGACGTCTTGATTATACATGAGCAAAGTATCTTTTGAAACAGTTAAAGCCAAATTCCCATTAATTATCCCCAATCATAATGTTACATTGTAGGATAGTGCCACAGTTCCTTTAATGTTTCACTAAAAAATTATTCACTAAAAAATTATGGGGATAATTACATTAAAAAAAAATTGAGGACCGGCCGGGCATGGTGGCTGATGCCTGTAATCCTAGCACTTTGGGAGGCCAAGGCAGGTGGATCACGAGGTCAGGAGGTTGAGACCAGCTTGGCCAATATGGTGAAACCCCGTCTCTACTAAAAATACAAAAATTAACTGGGCATGGTGGCGTGCGCCTGTAATTAGAAGAATCGCTTGAATCCAGAAGGCGGAGGTTGCAGTGAGCTGAGATTGCGCCACTGCACTCCAGCCTGGGCGACAGAGCGAGACTCAGTCTCACACACACACACAAAATAAATAAAAATATTGAGAACCAATAGAGTTTTTGGTTCCTAATGCAGTATATTTACTATTTTGGAAATTAAAACTCAGAAAACTGAAGTTTTTATTTATTTAAAAATAAAAGACTCGTATATTAAATACTTTTTGAGTGAAAAATATTTTCTAAAACAAAACTTAGAAGAGGAGTGTGGCATTGTTTTAAATTTTTGCAAATCACTTTAATGTCTGGCTTTATAGAAGACAGCTGGATTTTCATATTTGCTTCTGTTCAGTCTGTTGTGCTATCTGGTTAAGGCTGAAGCATATGAAGAAAACCCAGCCTTGCACAGATACGTAGTAGGAAAAGGGAAGAGATCTTACAAGCGTGCTGGAAGGCTTCTGGGGACATCCAGGGATCCTGAGACCACAGTTTGAGAAAGCTAATTTAACCATTCTTAGACTGATGGGCTGTTGGACTGTTTAAAATTTTGCACTGTTAACAAACAAACATTGCAACAGTGAAGGTCCTTTGTGATGTTTTCTGGTGTAACGGTGCTAGTATTTTTCTGTAAGTAGAATTGCTAGGTCATAGATTTTTGCTTTTTTTTTTTTTTAAATTTGTTAAACACAAACACAAAGTGTGATGCCTGTGTAATTTTCTCTTGTGCACTAATGTTGGTGTTCACATTGTTTCAACTAATGATTTGGTAAAATATCTTTGCATGTTTTTAGTTTCGAATTATTTTCTCTTTGGGAGCCTGGGGGATTCCAGTAAAAGCCAGACAGCCAGCCGGGTTGGGTGGCCCATGCCTGTAATCCTAGCACTTTGGGAGGCCAAGGTGGGTGGAACACTGGAGGTGAGGGGTTTGAGACCAGCCTAGCCAACATGGTGAAACGCTGTCTCTACTAAAAATAGAAAAATTAGCCAGGTGTGGTGACGCATGCCTATAATCCCAGCTACTCAGGGGGCAGAAGAATCACTTGAACCCAGGAGGTGGAGGTTGCAGTGGGTCCAGATTGTGTCACTGCACTCCAGCCTGGGGGACAGAGTGAGACTCTGTCTCAAAAAAACCCACAAAAAAACAAAAGAACAGAAAAGAACAACCAGACAACTACTAGATGCATTATAAAAGAGCTGTAACACATGGATTCTTTTCTAAAATTTCTCAAAAGATAAGTGTTAGATCAAATATTAGGAATATTTGAGGCTATTGGTACATATTGTCACATTGTTTTCCTGGGAGATAGTACCAGTTTATTTCTTGTCAGCAGTGTCTGACATGCTTTAAAAAAAAAAAGAACAGGGCCGGGCGCGGTGGCTCAAGCCTGTAATCCCAGCACTTTGGGAGGCCGAGGCGGGTGGATCACGAGGTCAACAGATCGAGACCATCCTGGTCAATATGGTGAAACCCCGTTTCTACTAAAAATACAAAAAAGTAGCTGGGCATGGTGGCACATGCCTGTAATCCCAGCTACTCAGGAGGCTGAGGCAGGAGAATTGCCTGAACCCAGGAGGCGGAGGTTGCGGTGAGCCGAGATCGTGCCATTGCACTCCAGCCTGGGTAACAAGAGCGAAACTCCATCTCAAAAAAAAAAAAAAAAAAAAAAAAGAACAAAAACACACACCCTTACCAACATTGAGTACTTTTATTATTTTAAAAAATTGTTTCAATTTAGTAGGCAATAAATGGTATATGTTCTTACTCTCATTACTTTGATAGTGTACCGAATTTTTTTTTAATCTTAATAGTTGTCTGCTGATATTATTTGCCCATTTATAGTCCAGTGGCCAAGTGTTTTTCTTTTTTTTTTTCTTTTTTTTTTTTTTGAGACGGAGTTTCGCTCTTGTTACCCAGGCTGGAGTGCAATGGCGTGATCTCGGCTCACCGTAACCTCCGCCTCCTGGGTTCAGGCAATTCTCCTGCCTCAGCCTCCTGAGTAGCAGGGATTACAGGCACGCACCACCATGCCCAGCTAATTTTTTGTATTTTTAGTAGAGACGGGGTTTCACCATATCGACCAGGATGGTCTCGATCCCTTGACCTCATGATCCACCCGCCTCGGCCTCCCAAAGTGCTGGGATTACAGGCTTGAGCCACCGCGCCCGGCAGCCAAGTGTTTTTCTAACAAATTTTTATCTTCTTAAATATATTGTAAGGACATGTTCTATGCTTTTTCTTTTAAGGAAAAGAACAAAATTGTGTTTTCTCTGTTTATAAGAGTACATGCTTATTTTTAAAAAGTAAAATAGTATGAGACATGTCATGTAGCTCTGAAATGCTTGGATAATCCCACTCATAGATTTACAGTATTACTAACATCATTAATGTTTGTTCCTTCATTTTTTTTTTTACTGTGCCTTTGTTATTTTTTTTTCAACTTATTTGTAGAAATAGGTTTGCACTACGCATAGTTTTGTGATTTGATTTTCTTTCATTTAACATTGTATGTTGGATATTTTTCTACAGCAGTACATGTAACTGGGCAAAGTTTATCCTAGGTGGTTTTAGGAACATGAATTGTGATCTTTAGTTATCTGATGGCAGGCTCTTGTCCTCTTCTAAATATATTCTCTTCCTAGGTGATCTCATCCATTAAGAGCTGTGTGTTGCCAATTCCCAAATCTTTATCTCAGACTCCTCTCCTGCATTCCAGATTCTTACATTCAGCTGCTTTTTGGATATTTCTCCCAGGATGTTCTCAAGGTACTTCAAACAGTCCAAACGTGAACTCATGTTTTCCCTTAATCCTGTTCCTCTTTGTATTGCCTGTCATGGTCAGTGGCACCACCATCTATCCCAGACACTCATGGTGGAAACCTGGCACTAATCTAGCTTTCTCCCTTGCTTTCAGTCTCCAAAAGTTCTCATTCTTTTGCCAGTTTTATTTCATTTTATTATTATTATTTGAGACAGGATCTCACTGTATTGTCCAGGCTAGTCTCAAATTCCTGGGCTCAAGCTGATCCTCCCACCTCAGGCTCTGGAGTAGCTGGGAGCACAGGGGGGCATCACCATGCCTGGCTCATTTTAGCCACTTTTATATCTGTTTCCTTTATTTCTCACTGCACTGCCTCAGCTCAGGCCTTCACCTCTTACCTTAACCATTTTAAGTGTCTCCTTACTATTGGTTTTGTTGGTTTTCTGATTAATCTTCCATGTTACTGCCAATTTTTTTTAAACATGAAGAGATTTTTAAAAATCATTTTATTGGAAATATTATGAAGATTTTTTTCCTAAATCTAAAAGTATATAATTAGCCAAGTGAATAAAAATACTACCTAAAATAAGTCACATGTACATATAAATAAACCTATTTAAAAAGGGAGCCAGGCGTGGTGGCTCATGCCTGTAATCCCAGCACTTTGGGAGGCTGAGGCGGGTGGATCACGAGGTCAAGAGATCGAGACCATCCTGGTCAACATGGTGAAACCCCGTCTCTACTAAAAATACAAAAAATTAGCTGGGCATGGTGGCGCGTGCCT